TTCTATGGTGCTTGTCGACTTAGACAGACAAAAAAAAATATATATATATATATATATATATATATATATATATATATATATATTATGATTAAGTTAATTTCGTCCCAGAATTTCCAGGGAAATCTCGAGGTGAGGACAATTTTATTCCCATTTACCAGGGAGAAGAAAAGACCGGGAAATGACAAACCTAATCCATATCACGATCTACATAGGGGTCGTCCATTAATCACGTCAACAATTTTAAAGCAATGTTTGACCCCCATCTCCCCCTTGTCGCAACTTTCAATGGCGCCCCTATTTAATTATGTCAAAATTTTCTAACCCCCCTACCCCAAACAAAAAAAAAAAAAAAGGAATAAATAAATTTAAAATACATTTTACTTTGTGCTGATCTATTTTAATGGCACAATATTGTAGGAAAAACACTTCATTACATCTTTAGCTTGTTAATCAACAAGTTAAAAAGTTTTTGTTGGAAATTGACAAAATGCTGAATGCTAATTACGCATTGTTTTGCACACCACATTATTTATTTTGTAGTGACGTCATGTTTTTATGCTGTCTTGTGGAGTGCTCCATGTTGATAGGACTCCATGTTGTTCTCCTACAATAAAACGTAAAACGTTGGTGGTTGCCTCTGCTTGTTTGACTATCGTCCTTGTGAAGTAACTTAGCAACTAAATATTTTCAACAGTTTTTACACTTAAATTTTATAATTCAGAATCAATTGAAAGGTTGTTAAAGACTAAATATCATTCAGTAAAGCTTACAATTATAGCATAGTTTCTAGCTGCTATAATCTTCCCAAGGAGTAGCCAGGTTTGCTCTATCGTAACAATGGACATCAGGGACATCATTTGGGTAGGGCAGGGGGAATTCACCCCCCACCCCCTAATTTGCAGGTTTTATTTAAATTGCTATGTACTGTGGCACATCCAGTAATAAACAACGTGACAAGCCGACCAAGCTTTGGTTTTGCACCCCACCCCCTTAAAAAAAGCACGCAATGACGCCCCTGGTGGACATAGTCTATAGTAGCTGATTTATCTTTTTCATCTTGCGGCCCTGATCCTCATCTAACCATTCAGTACTTATAATAGAAGCAATATTCGGTGTGAATTGCCATTAGCTCTATCTCCTTGCAGCTACTCGCATTGGTCCCTTTTGAGTCCTTTTTTGTTGAGGAGCAGGTGTTAATTTCTTACGCCCAAGAGAGCATTGTGCATTGTCGATGCTGTTGAACATGCTTTTTCAGCATGACTTAAAAAAATAAATCTTATTTGAGGGCCCACGATCAATGTCTTGATCATTTTCGTTAGCCTTCTCTTAGATGAGTTGCCTTCCAGTGCAAACGAGTCGCATCCACCCGGGGTGCCTGGGATTTTGCTTTGGCGGGGATAGAACTCCAGAACACCACTATTTGGAATGAGTCAGTTTAGACCACTCGGCCACCCAGTACCCTTGTGATGCAAATATATGTTACAGATTTTCCAAATAGTTCAAGCAGCGATGTTATTATTGTTATTCACGTTACATTCACCTAATTCTCAAAATATCGTATTCCTACGCTATCAATATCATTTATCTCGACTTAACATGAAACTTGAGTTGTGTCCTTGTTCCATACCAGCAACAGAATCTACAGGTGAAGAGAGGCCGACTTTTGACTTCGCTTGTACTAACAAAGTGTGCGGCTAACATTCTGACCAGCCATCTGCAGTGCACAGACGGGCACACATTAAATAAATCTTATATAGTTAAAAGCCTACAAATTATGACCATTGACGCGCGTTTACACTTATAAATTTTATAAAATAATGTAATAACCAGTCAATTTTTAAAAATAAAATTTAACTAGAGCAAACATTATTGTTGACGTCAACTAATCTAACCCTCCCCCTTTTCAACAACTGTTAAATTTCAAACCACCTCCCCCACCTTTATTTTTTTGTTTACGTAATTAATGGACGCCCCTATATATACATTCAGATACAAAGAAATTTATTGTCAGAAATTTTAACTAGCCGAGCAAGTTTTGGTTTTGCCCCATCCCCCTGAAAAAACCTGAAATGACACCCTTGCCTCGGATATTTATGAGGCCCAAAGTTGTGATGTGGAAAAAGATTAATATCAAATGTGAATGCAAGGAGAAGAACAAAGCTGAAAGGTGACAAGGACCTCCAAAAGTCACGCGACGGCTCTGTGCTTACTTCTTATCAGAATGCACAATTATGAATATATCTGTGTGTTAAAAATTCAGAACAAATACATGAAGCCTATTTAACAATGAAAATTACAAGACTATACTTTAAAAGTAGGCTCGCAATTTTGAAAACTACTATTTTGTAATAACTTGCATATGTGCAAAGAATTATTATTGAAAGCTAAGTTAAATATAAGAAGATGGGTCTAATCTATATACATGTACGTTTTGAAAAGCTCTTCTCGTATGAAGCCATTTCATATGCACACAATTCCTGGGAAATAAACGTTGACTAATACTGAGAGGGATTTGGACGAATTCCTGAAAGACTCATTCGCTATATAAAACCACATAATAATAATGATAATATTCCTGACACACACTATTAAAAAAGTTTTTTTTTTGGGGGGGGGGGGGCAGCGGCGGAGCAGGGGTAGCCTACTCAATCTTTTCGAGCAATGGGACAGACTTTGATTTTTGGGCTTGCTTGGAGTAGATACAGGA